TCCAATGTCTGGACATTGGTCAGAAACCATCCATGCACCTTTGGCCAGCCTGTCGCCGTGATCAAATGTTGGATGGGTTCGGTGGCAAGTTCTGACTCGGTCAAGATCCTAGCCTCAGTCAGGCAAGCCTTGGCGCGCACGGACCCTGTGCCCAGCTCAGCTAAGAAAACGTCTCCTAGCAAACGTGTGACGATGGACTTGGGAACGCATGACAACTCTCTGGCAATCAATTTCTGTAGCCATGGAGGATCCACCAGCAAAGCTCGATCGGGCCCCGACATGGCACAGCACAAGATCGATGTCTACGTGATCCATGCTTGTTAGTGGGCCTGGCAAAAGCATATTGACAAATCCACTATCCTCTTCAGCTACTTGCCAATCTAATATGCTTCTAAACGGCCTGAAACATACATTCACAAACTTTAAACCAACCTACTCATGCTTCTTCACCCGCTCTGTTCAAGGGGAGTTCTCCCTCGGACGCTAGAGCCAGAAACGAGCCCGGACGCACAAGCCGAAAAAGAAAGCAAGACACCGGATAGGCATTTACCAGCCACTGGAAAAGGCATTTTGACTTTCCTTATTGATACACCCCCAACCGCATCAGGCAAATCCAATCGAAGATTTAACTCTTAGAGCTTTGGACAGCGTGCCCTTTGGGTTCGAGCAGTATCTGCGCAACTTTCAATCATCACACCAGGGCTCGCCATCCAAACTCCGGCGCAAAAGGTGTTCCCGTCTTTACTCTCAGTACTTCTCGTCCCGGCGCCACTCACCTTCACCTTGCCGCTGGCAAGGGTCATTCTGCCTCATGCAGCCGCAGCTCAAAATTCAAGCGTCTGCTTGCAGCTACAGGGCTGTGTCCACTGGGCTGAGTTGCCGGGATGTCATGGTCGCCCTTGCCGGCGTTTCTGCATCTCCCACGCTGCCGCCACTTGTCTGGGCTGGCGGAATCTCATCATCCGGCGTGGACTGGACAGCTTCAGCTCGGCCAATCAGGCTTGGCGGAGTGCTGTTTATATATCCTACGGTCCCGCTGGGAGCCGCTCCGTCCTGCACGTTCTCTTCGGACGCGGACATGTCAAGGGCTCCTGCCAGCCTCGGATGCTAGAGCCAAAAAGTTTCCTGATCAATATGCGTTCTATTGAAGCGGCGCGGAAAAAGCATATGCACAATGTCTTTTGCTTTCGTTTCCAATATGTTTATCAAATTTCTGAACAAGGCTGAAAACAGTTGCATATACCCTGACTCAATGATTCATTACAATGATTTATAATCACACTGTGTTTACAGTGTTTACATGTAAACATAGATATGCAATGTGCATCTACAGCAAGCAACAATGCCTCAGCACACATGCAAAGAAAACGCCGTCAAGTTTTCTCACAATACTAGCATCCAACTACACCTATTGAACCCCTCCTCTGTACACGTTGAATGCTGAATGCTAAAGCTTGAAAGACTTGGGAGATCAACAAAAATACGCAAGAACTAATCCTCACACTCATCCTGACTCATCGTGCTTGCGCTTTGAGAGTGAGCCAACTGCAACGATGATAGCTGTCTCCTCGGTTGCCTGCATCACAGATGCGAGAACACGGTCACGGTTCTTGATCATGTAGAAATCTCCCATCTTCCACTGGAACAAATTCTTTGTGATCTCGTTTTCCGTGTACTCACCACTGGACCTCAAGTGCACCAGGATCCTATCCATGATGCTGCCAAAGGTAGACGCGGTTGAAACAACCATGTTCATCATGCAAGGGTCAGTTCCGAACCATCAAACTTGACCGTGTTGAAGATCAGCTTCATCTCTGGATCAGACAACGATTTGGTGGATAGCTCTGTAATCACTTTGATCGGGCGAATATACTTGAAAATCACCCACTCCTCGTGGTTTGAATGCTTGTAGATCAAGAACTGGTGACCCGCATCCTGATCACTTACATGAGTCTGGTTGATGAGCACATATCAACTTTTTAACACTATCCAACGACACAAACATTGACAAACAAATGAAAAATACTTTGTGGTTAAATCGGCCGAAACAAACCAATTTACTAACGTTGATTCAAAACACTGAGCTCCGACCAGGACATACTTCACATTTGAGTAGGAGAGACGTTGAATCAGGACTGGAAACGTGCCAAGTACAGTTCCAAGGCAGCCCTCTCCTGTCAAGCATTCCCAGACATGAGAAAGGACTTCGCTCTGACTCTGGCTGGATGAATGCCAAGACAAGCCCTGGATAGCGTCCAAGTCTGGAACGTGTGATGTGTATTTGATGTGAAACTCCCATCGTGGCTTATGAGCTGCCGCCATGGTATCCAGAATCGCGGAAAAGGCACAACGTTTCACTCTTGCTTTTTGTGTTTTGAGCATCACATAAATAGCACAAAGAAGTGAACACTTCAGTGAACAATCCATAATGCTGAAATGCTGAAATATAAGTCATCCTGATTCATCCTGCATACATATATATATATATACAGAAGGGGTGGCCATGGGGCCTGGGTTTTTGTTGTCCATAATTTTTCACAAATATTAGGTAAATGCATCAGTGCCACAATCAAAACCAAAAAACACTGATAAATATGCATAGAGGATAAAAAACACATAAGAAAAAACCAAAAAGAAATAAACAAACATTGGGAAAACAAAAAACAATTCTGGGAGACTCTTGGCTGGACCCCCCAAAATCAGAAAAACCAAAAAACAAAAAAAAGCCTTGGGCAAACCAAAAAAACAAAAAAAACAATTCTCAGAGACTCTTGGCTGGACCCCCTTTTCCTCAAGACTTCCCCAGAATTGTTTTTTTTGTTTTTTGGTTTCCCAAGGTTTTTTTGGTTTTCTGATTCTTCTGATTTTGGGGGGTCCAAGCAAGAGTCTCTCAGGCTTGTTTTTTGTTTTTTGTTTTCTCAAGGTTTTTTGGTTTAGCATCTGAGCTTACTTCTCACATCAAGGCATCAGTTCTTTTTGCTTACATCTGAAACCGTCTGAGCTCAACACTTCCTTTGTCCTTGTCCAAATCTCCATATACAAGTCTGAGTGCATTAACTGCTGACTGGTATCAATGCGGTTGCCACTTGCATTTCCAAACAGCTTGACGTGCAGTTGCGAGGACACTCTGTCCTTTACATGAAACGGTTGACATGACACGGTTTTAATTAAAATTCAGTTTTAATTCAGTTCTATCTTAGCTCTAACTCAAATCCAATTTAATTCTACCTAATTCTGTTCTAGCTCTAGTCTATTTAGTTTAAGAAAGCACATGCTACAAAACCCCGTGTTTTACAGTATTTTTTGCCCTGGAAGTGCTGGGAACAAGACTAAAACTCTTTTTTGGAGTAAATAGTTAGATTTACTTATTGTCAGTAATCACTGGAGATAATATATACATATTAAACATGTTTTATGTACAAGCTTCTGATTCAAGAGCTTCCCTCTAGATCTCTGGGGATGATCATTTCTACAAAAAACTATATATAAGTTTTCATTTCAAAAGCTTTCCTCTGGATCTCTGGAAATGGTCATGTCAATTTAAACATGCTATATATCAATAAATCAGTCTTTCTTTCAAGAGCTTTCCTTTCATGAAAACACATATATATACATATATATATATATATGGAATACCTACTTTCCCAGAGATCCTGAGGAAAGCTTTGAAAATGCAAGCTCTTGCCCGCAGACATCTAGAAGAAAGCTTTTAACATACAAGGTTTCTATATAGTTGTTTGAACCTAAACATGATTATCTGCAGAGATCTATAGAGAATCGTTTATAACATAAAAGCGTCTTTATACAATCTTTCTAAATCTAAACATGATTATAAGCAGAGATCTAGAGGACAATTGTTAAAACGCCAACTTTTTATGGCCTATTTCTTTTCTAATTGTCTTGTTCAAAACCATCTGAATGACTGATTGCTGCTTCCAAAACAATAAAATTACCCTGACTCAGGAATACATAATATATTTGTTCATATAGAGTGAGAGCAAGAATAGATATGTGTGTTTATATGGAGAGGGGCTGCCACTGAAGCATTTACCTAAAATTTTGGGGATAACCAAAACCCAGGCCCCACGGCCACCCGCTCTCTCTCTCTCTATATGTATAAGTATGCCATATATATCCTGCAGAGCGCTGTTCATAAATCCTGCAGTCCCGCTGGGAGCCGCTCCGTCCTGCACGTTCTCTTCGGACGCGGACATGCCAAGGGCTCCTGCCAGCCTCGGATGCTCGAGCCAAAAAGTTTCCTGATCAATATGCTTTCTATAGAAATGGCCTGGAAAAAGCATATCCACAAATTGCCTGCTTTCCGTTACATGTCCTTTGCTTTTCTATCCAATATGCTGTGCTTTTCAAATTTCTGAACACAAGAGGAAAGGGTTACACAAACATGGCACACCCAGGGTCCCGCAGGGAGCCCTTGCCACTAGTCGAAATTTCTTGAAATGAAATGAATGCATTCTCGCCCGTGGCTGCAGAAACGCTGCATGTATACAGCGGTGAGGTGCCCAGTGGCTGTGAGTGGCTGGTCGAATGGCTGCGCGAGTGGCGGCTCGAGCGGCTGCAAGTGGCTGCTCAAGTGGCTGCAAGTGGCTGCGCAAGTGGCTGC